ATTCCGCTAGTAATTTTGTAACTTGGTTTTCTCCACTTTGGAAGCAGCTAGAACAAAAACTTTTTCACTGTTAAATAGGGCATTGTTTACACTATATATACCGCTATTCAAAACAGAAAATTTCGTATCTACGATTTTTTCAGAAAATGCCGCCTAAATGCCCACTGTGTATTGCAAAGCACGACACGATCAAACGAAGCTGATAGAATCTTGGTTTTGGTCTCAGATGAACTAGTCTATATATTTCAATACAATAATTTTACGTGTGAATCATTTAACTTGTCCAAACATAACTTTTTCAAAACCCGATTTCAAAATCCTGCAAAGCTCGAAATCTAAATAAAATCAGAGGTTTCATAAATTTCAGTCGAAAACTACAAGGAAAATATGAAAACAGACGAAAATTCGCAATACAAACAGGATTTTTTTTGTGATAGAAATGACTCTATTTATGTTTCCTTTAGTTACCCACTGGAATGTCCTAGAAACTTGTACAATCTCTCGTTTTCTATAGAACTGAATAATGTATCCACTGATGTGTTCGAAAAAAAGTCCAGAACTATGCAGGTTATCTGGAAAAGGGAATGTTTGCAGATTATATTGGATCTGACAAGGGAACGTTTTTCGGTGAACTCCTCGGATTTCGTTCGTTCATACGTCATTCGATAGAGTATATTGAGATAATAGAAAGCCTGAAAGAGTTCGGGTCCATGGCTCTTTAAGGTCCGGTTTTTTGGAAATCCAGTTTTTTAGAAACTCCGAAGAATAACCAAAACCTTTCTTAATGAGGCATGATTGCAGCCCGCAAATTTCTGATTAAAATGAGATATCTCCAGGTCTTCGCGGCCTTTCTTTACAAAGTTATAGAATATACAAGAAAAGCCCTAAATGTTCATTGTCAGCTCAAAGCTACAGAAATAAGTAGAAATTAATTTAGGGCTTTTCGTGCAGATTCTATAACTTTGTGAAGAAAGGTCGCGAAGAGCTGGGAATCAGAAATTTGTGGGCTACAATCATGCCTCATTAAGAAAGGTTTTGGTTATTTTTCAGAGTGTCTGAAAGTCTGGTTTTCCAGAAAACCGGGCCTTAAAGAGCCATGGTCCCGAACTCTTTTAGGCTTTCTCTTATATCAATATACTCTCTCAAATGACGTATGAGCGAACGAAAGTCGAAGACTTCCTCGAAAAACGTTCCCTCATGGATAGAGGTATCCCACATGAGACTTTCTAATTAAAATATATAGACTAAAGTATGCTCTTTCATTTGAGACTAGAACCAAGGTTCTATCAGCTTTCCTCTGGCCGTGCCATGCTCTGCAACAGAGATCATTTCCGCTGGAAATGCTCAAAATCCTACTTTTCGTTTGGAGAATAGTTTACTTGTAATTTTTTTCCTACAAACATAGCGCGTTGTGGTTGCGCCATTGGGATCAGCACTGAAAAATGTGTATTTCATGTTTTTGCGTCGAAACTTCTGTATATCGTGCTATGAATTAACCTATTTAGAATATGATACGCTTGATCCCTTATCATTTCCTTCAACAATTTCAACAGCCTTAACAAATCTACGATATCTAACACTCTCTGATTTATTCTTCAATGATTTTTTATGTCTATTTTCAATATTACAACATGTTATCACAATAAAAATTGTAGGATTGTATTGTAACAATACTGATGTAGAACAACTGTCCGAGAAACTACCCGAATGTACTAATCTCTATATCTATATGGGTGCATCCGATGATGGAGCAACATTTAAACATGTCCATCATATACTATCGTGTATACCACAGTTAAAAAATTTAAATACGAATGCTGGAATAGTAATGAATATTTTGTAAATGGAAAAAGATGGCAACAAATATTAATTCCATTGCAGAATTTGAATTAGACGTTCATTTTGCTCCGTATATCAATTTTTTTACTCAACAAATGTCAAATGTTGAACATCAATTTAAAACATTATTTTGGATGGAACGACAAACGAAATTGAAAACAGAAGCAAATGGTGAAGGTTTTAATTTAAATGTTAAATTTTGATTTCTTAAAGAGCATGTAACTTGTTGTCCTTTACAATTATATTGCATTTAAAAGCTAGTAATTCTATTTACTATGCAGCAACACGATCGTAAAAACTTTGATTTTTTTTTCCATAATCATAAAATCAAACGTATTAAAGGATTCGTGTTCTGTGCATCGGATTTTTAAGTTGAATTGAAAATGCAGGAACAATGTAGTTTTTCTCATTCATTTCCGTGTAAATAGTTTCCTCGTGCAGATATATTTCTATGTATTTTTGGTCGCGCTCTTATTTTTATGTTAGTCGATCATTTTATCTCTAAGATTCCTGTACGTGACAGACAGCTAAATAAAAAGAGTTTCAATGTTTGCAGTGGCTTTGTTTTATACTTTCGAATGAACATGTATATTTCGCCCTTGACATTCTTTTCGATTTGAAACAAATATGTGTAGTTGTATACGATTTTTATGTTGAAATGGTTTTGATGCAGAAGTATTGGGTATGTGTAGAAGATTGATACATAGAAATACCGTGAGTGGATAGAGACGTTAGAAATTCATTCTATACCATGTCCATGAAATAATTTTGATGCTCTAAACCACGTTAGCAAACTTTAGAAAATGTTTTTCCAGAAAAAATGCGTTTGCGTGGGTTAAATTTACAAATATAGCGCGTGACAACGTTTCTCCTGAGAAAGCACAGGTTAGGTCCGGTTAAATATTGCTCTAAGAGATAAAAGGAGTTGACACGTATTCTGATTTAACAAGTTCATGTGCGTGCAATCCTTATTCTAAAAGCTAACGATTCGGACAACTTAACAGTTCATTCAATTTACTTGTTATAACGCGTTTTACATCCGTTACACACGTTATTTTAACCCGTTTATACGAGTAGAATAGCTTTTAATCTGATCAAACTCGTTCAGCGATGACTCATGAAAATATTCAAGCGTTAAAACGAGTTTAAACAGCGATTTAGCGATCGTCGTTTGTTCTGCATAAGCAAATGATATATAATTGCCTGTCATCTCATCAGGGGTGTAACCGGTATCAAAAATGCGATATCGGTACCGTTCACCGGTATACACGCTTCGTACCGTTACCTCAGGCGGTATACCGGTGACCGGTTTATCGGTCGGTACCGTGTCTTGATCATATTTTGCCTAAATACAAATACTTTTTCCTTGCTTTTCTTTACCGTGAACTTTATTTTATGTTATCAAAGGGCTAGATTAATCTTTTCACCTTGATAACTGGACAAAAGAACAATTATTACAAGAGATAGAAGAATGGAACCAGATTGATCCGAATATTAAATTAACAGCAAAAATTGGCAGATCAACTGATTTTCTCGATCTCCATATAGAAAACATAAACGGTCAATTTCAAACTAATGTGTTCCACAAGCCATCGTACGAGTCATATTACTTACCATTTAATAGTATTCATCCAATGCATATGAAGAGAAATATACCTTTTGTAGCTCTATTAAGAGCTATTCGGTATTCTTCTACATTCCAAGTTTATTTAAATGAACGCGAAAAGATTCGAATGGCTCTACTATTAAATAAATATTCTGGCGAATTCATCGATGCTTAGTTTGATCGCCTTCTAGTTAAATTTAATAGCGATTATCAACTAACTAATCGTAACTTTAAAGCTATACGAGAAAAGCCAATCGAATATCAGGGCAATTTAAAACTTGCAGTTGATTACGAAACATCGATGTTCGTCCATTTTACTTATTGTCCCAGTATGAAAATGTTCCCGTCAAAATTCCACGCACTTTGGCAAAAATATTTCGCAGAATCACCAATCGGAGATATAATGATAATATATAATAATACCAATCGTTGGCATAAGAAACGTCGGCAATCTCCAACGGCGATTAACGCATACTCGATACCAGCCCTCTGCAATATTGGTCAAGGAGCATGACATCGGTAACCCCTGTCCACATGGTCGTAGATCCGGTGCACTATAGGGAAAATGTTATGTCACATGACTTGTTGAATAGAGAAGGGCAAGTTTTTCATTTTGCTTTGTGTAGTTCGTCTATTTTTCACTTTTTTCAAGTTTTTATAGTTTTTTAAAGTAATATGTAAAGCCCTGAAGAGTGTTTTCTAAATAAAGAACACGAAACGCGTCTGCAAATACGTTTCTACATATTACTAGTATACAAGTGATACATATTGAATTATTCGTCGTCAACGTCGATAGCTGAAAAGTAAAAGTTGAGAACCCACGGGTGGAATTTGTATTCCATTGCAGATATGGTCCGTTATTGTGCCTCACCCTCATCTTCTGAAGACGGGATAAGGATAAAACTACAGAGTAGATCAGCAGTTATGTCTTAGTTTCGAGAGATGGACCGACGTAGATGGATGTACCCATTCCTTCGAGGGATTGAAACCGGAATACCACCGGCTGGCTCCCAATGGATTATGTCTAACTGCGGTAGGTGAAGTGAATAACAGACCTGATTGTGTGGTTCCTTTAAGGAAGCACATAGCTGATCACTGTTGTTCATGAATCCTACTAGTTGCAGGTCTATCTTTTGAGACGGACAGAAAAAGAGATCACGAATGTAAAGCAGTTTGGAAAGACACTAACTACCTGATGAGGCCCTTCAGCAAGGCCGAAACGCGTCGTAGTGGCTGGTTGATGCTTCTTTGCAATTGTATCTCTTCATCCATCTTACTCACCCCTAATGATCCCTTTGCCGGTATGAAATCGCGATAATGGTAGCTATGACTCATCACTGTTCTTACTGTGGATCTACCAGTACAATGGGATTAGCTTCGGTTGATTCAATTGTAACGGAGTAGTCAAGTGAAAATTGTTGTGATCTTCGGATCATTACATTTCCACTATAGCCATCTGATGATTCCCTTTGCGGGGATGAAATCGCGATAATGGTAGCTATGACTCACCCTCTACCACAAGCTACAAAGCAGACCCCAATCTGTCCTGTCGAGGACGATATCATTAGACATGTGTTATCATATACATTGGCAATCTCTTAATCTGCTCCATGCTCTATTAAATATTTGACAATGTCCAATCTACCATCGAAACATGCTGCCCTTAGTGGTGTGGAATGTGTCTCGGTGTAGTGATTGACATTTGCTCCATAGCTAACTAATAATTTAACAATATTTAAATGTCCAGAAGCCGCTGCACACCATAGTGGACTCGCTCCTCGTATAATACAATTTTCATATTCAACAACTCCTTCCGCTTCAATATTAACGTTGAGTTCTTTGATTAATCTTTCAGTAATATTATAATAACCGTCTTTAGCCGCAATAAGCAGGAGATTCCATTTACATCGTCCATCTGTATATGGCTCATTAATAAAATGGTTCATATGTTCTGGATGTATATGATCCAAGACGGTTTCTAATATAGTCGAAAATCGCTCTAATGGCCGTTGAAAAGATTGTGAAACCTCCATTTCTGCATTCATATACCATTTCAATTGTTTTAAATATTTGTATCTGCAGGAAATAGTGTTTGCTTTTTCAATGTTTTCGTTTAACAACGTTATGTTTTCGATCAGTGGAAGCAGGTCTACTCCCCATATAAAACAATGGTCATTTTCCCATTCTGTCTCATATACTCTGCCGTTTCGATAGATCATTTTACCATGTCCACTTCGCTTCCCAAATGCCCAACTTCCTTTGTATGTGGAACCATTTGTATATTGAGCAGACCCGAAGCCGTGGGCAATGCCTCCCTCAATCCATGCTCCTTTATAGACATCACCAACATCGTGCTTGAACATTCCTCCTAGTTTATTACCATTCCATACACCTGTACAATTATTTCCGGAATTAAATATTGAAATCCCTCTATACCACATATCATCGTCCCATTGTCCAACCCATTCTTTACACTCTGACTTTCTGTAAACACATTTGCCTTCACCATGTCGCTTTCCGTGTGAGTATTCTCCCTCATATCGGCATTGATTGTTATCGTATGTTAAAACTACAATTTCGACTCGAAATAACACAATATCTGTCAGAGGTGAAAGGCGCAATGTACATCTTTTGTGGTTATATCGATTTTCAATAAAATCCATATGTCCGAACTGTCCAAGTGATCATTGGTAAGAACTCTATCATCAAAGAGTGTAACTGATTGTAACATATCATGCAGCAAATGTAAATTCGTCACGGAAAAAACAATTGTAGTATGAATTTAGGTATGAACTTGAAACTAAAATTAATTCATACACACCATTTGTACTTAATAAGACACATTGTTAGAAAGTTGAATAAAACGGTATGGTAGTTTTTTTGAGTTGCTTTTAACAGAAACGAGAAAGAGTGACTCAAGACGTTGGAAAGCCAATGACTGGTTTACAGAAAGGAAGAAAAAGTTGTTTTATTTCTTCCATAACAATGAGTCGGCGCATTAGAAAAGTTTTTTTGTGTGAATCAGAAAAATGAGACAGTTTATACTAATTCTGTCTTGCAAAACAAATAAAGAGGAATCTTTCTCCAAATGTCAACGTGTGCGGGGGCAGAGGGTGCAGTGAGTATTTATACAATAAGTCAAACGCATTTTGTTGAATGCTGAATACGACAAGAAAGATGATAGAAAATCAAGCGTGGCTGTAAGGCTTTCACGGATGCTCAAACGGATCGTCAGCAGCGGAAGAAGAAGGAAAACGAGACATATACAAAGAATTGTCGAACAAAATTTCTCTTGTGTATATAAGTGAGAGAGAAAAAGTGTTGTTTTCTCACTCTCCCACGTGTTTGTACTAACGAAACAGAATAGCAAAGAAAATCGAATGTTTTTTACATAACGAAGTTTTTCTATGACATTATATGTGTACATGCTGTATGACACATTCAAATATGCTGCACAGATCCTTTTTGACTAATATCCAATTGATGTTAATCTTCAGACACTAGCCATGTCGTATCGAGATGAAAATTACATGCTCAAAACAGACATTATGCTGGCTCTCGTGCTGGCATGTGTTCGACAAACAGAGATCGATGTGTTTGTTTTCTGAGTCAGAAAATATGAAAAAAGGATAATGTGGAAATTCTCTCAGCGCGGAAAATAGAATGCACACAGGAAATTTGGATGAGTGGCCGAGATATTTTCTTCCGATCTTCAAAAGGTGTAAATGACACTGGAATAGACAAAGCACCTTTTTACGGCAGTTTGTTATCTCTCAGAAAATGTATTAATTCACGCAAGTTCTTTGTGCACATTTAAACTTGATGAAACTCTAATTGCATCTGTCATCGGTCAATTTCTCTTTACAGAGTTTTACAAACTTGCGGTAATTCTTTGTCTCAATTTGAAGTAACGTCCGTAATAAGAATATTTTCATTTTGATCGACTAAAAAGAAGAAGAGACTCGAACTTTTCGTCGATTTGGTAAAAGGCTTATTTCCATCGTACCATGTAGCTTTGAAATAAAAATTTTTCTTTTGAAAATGTATCTGAAATATTGTAGATTCCAAATATCTACACGTCATAACTTCATATGAGGTCCGAAATACAAGATTTTTTTTTTTGTGAACGAGGCCTTTGAGTAAGTGTATTTTTGCTTATAGGTTTTCTCAAAAAAAATGCGCCAATAGATTTTTCACCATAAGATAGTCCATTCATCGCAGTATATCTGAGTTGAATTGAATGCAAAAAAGCGTACCTTTGATGTTTTGTTAAATTTCTACGAGTAGAGAAATCATAAAACTGACTCGTCGAAACTGAAGTTTCGTCTTGATTCAAGTTTTACTTTAATGAAAGCGCATGATGAAGCAGAACTCATAAACTTTGAATGTCTAGGCTTAGAACGGAAATATGAAATGCTGTAAAGAATAGAATTTAACATATCGAATCTTATATCGATTCTGATGACAACAGACTTTAGAACGTTTCCAAGCGTAACGGAACTTCGTTTTTCCGTTTTCTGAGACCTATAACTTGACAGCAACAAAACCAAAACGACTGAAAATTTTCCTCCGATGAATAGACTCAAGTTCTACTACCAAAAACATTTTTGGATCGATTTGGTTCATTCTCAACAGAGTTGTAAGCAGGTAATAGCCGCCCTGAGGGATATAAAAAAATCGAATTTTTCTGCCGTTTACTAAAGTTTCTCATATTTCTCCAAGGCGAAAAGCGAGTTGTGCAGTTTTTAACGGATTTTTTTAAAAAGAAGAAGAGAAACAGAAATGATATTTTAATGAAAAAGGGTTAAGACTTGATTGTTGTTTCTTTCTTCTTTCACTAGTGTTTTTTAGCACAGGATTTTACCGAGATTTTAAAAACATCAGCAGTGCCGAAAATTACCTTTAACATCCATTATATCTGATGCATTAACCGAAACTCTTTGCTGTTTTCCTTTTTCTAACTGATCACTGTATGGCGAAAAGGATAATTCTGTTATCTGAAAGGAACAGTAAAGAATTGCATCAGAAATTCGCTGAACAAGTTTCTAATTTTCATTATACAAAAGGTAGATATAGAAACGTTGTGGAGTAAAGAATTGAAACGTGATTCATTTTGTGCCTGATAGATACTAAATTATATCTTCTGTCGCGAACACAGTCTGATCAAGAGTTGCGAAAAAAGTGTTGTTGAATTAAGGTGCACGTAAAGCAAATTTCGAGCACTTTTTGTTTTTCGCTAAAAGGTACACCATCCGATGCAGAATTTGATGCTGATCACGAATATCACCTTGAAAGTTCAAAAAATGTTTTG